CCTGGCCCTAGACCGGCCCTCCTCACCCCTCATCTGGACCACTGCCATAGCACAACTGGTATCCAGCCCCTCCTGTGACTCAGCCTCCACTCCACTGTGACAAACAGAAACTGATTCCTAAAGCACAGGTCACTCCCCAGCTCAAAGCTGCTGATAGCGCCCACCCCCACAGCTCACAGCAATGTTTAATGCAGAGTGCAGCTGCTCTTGGTTCTCTTGAGCCCTAGAGCCAGGGGATTTCATGAGGCTGTAAAGAGACCACCTCATCAGAATCACCTGGAGTGGTGATTCTGTGGTGGACTTGCTAAGAGCCCAGCTTCCTGAAATCCTGGGTCAGAAATTCTGGGAGTGGGCTCTAAAATTGGAGGAAAGTAAAAAATTCCAGATGAGCTGGGAGTGGTGGCATGCACCTATAGTCGCAGCACTTGGGAGGCTGAGGAGGGAGGATCACTGAGCCTGGGAGTTCAAGATCAGCTTGGGAAACATAGTGAGACCCTGTCTCAGAAAAAAAAAAAAAAAAGAAAAAGAAAAAGAAAAAAAATCCCAGAAAAACTTGGTATACCCTGAAGTTAGAAAACTGTTTTGCTAGAGTTTCCAGCTGTTTGGGAAAATCTGTCCTACTTCCAAAACCTAGGGACATACCCTGCCCACCTTAGGACTAGGAACGCTAACAGTCCTACTGCTGAGGCTAATCCTAAGTGCCACAGCTACAAAAGCTGAACAATCAGGGTTCCTGGAGCAGCCCATTCTGACCCTTCCACTGAGTGACTAAAGGGAAGTCACTTTATATCCACAGGCTTCAGTTTCCCATATATACAGTGTATAGATATGTGCTTTCTAGGGTCCCACTCAATTCCAAAATAAGGCACATGACCTTTATGTTGCATCACATATGTTCTGTTCGACCAGAGGTTCCGGTCCTAGCATTCTAAGAATCTGTGTGTGGTGGGGGGTTGGGGTGGGGGGGGTGGTTCTTTTCTCATCCAAAATGAAAATTTTAATAAGCATCTCTCATACTATATCCAACTGCCAATTTCCAATAAGAAGAGCCAAGCCATGGCTAGTCTGCCTGGCACAGCTTTATTTATTTATTTTTTCCCTAATGTTCATTACTAGAATTTTTTTCATATCCTTTCCATAGTCCAAAGAGGAGGAATGAGAGTTATATAAAATTACAATTTCCTAGCAACCTTCAGCATCTTGCTGTTTATTGAGGCTAATTATGTCTTTTCCATATTTGATGCTCCCATTTTAAAGACTGGGAAATCGATGCTCAGAGAATTGAAAGTTACCCAAGGCAGCAGAGCCAGGCTGTAAGATAGCACTGGAATTCTCCGTGTTAGCACTGGATCCCAGGAAGTCAATGCCAAGTTTCAGATACAATGAGAACAACTGGGCGAAAAGCTGCACTGGTCAACCAGCTGTCCCCTCCAAGGCACGGCAGGACTGCTAACCAGCCAGCCACACATCCTAACAGCTCTCGCCACAGAGCTGCTGGAAGAACGCACACACGCACTGAACGGAGGCGGGGCTGAGCAGCAGCCACCCAAGCAAAAGTGATGCCAAGGATTTAGTCAACAGAGAGCTAATACGAGTCAACAGTGGGTGCTGCTGCCAAGCACACCAATGGGATCTTCAGCTGCATTCACAGGGGAAGAGTGTCTACTCCCTCCACCTGCCCTGCTCAGACACGACCACACCTGTGGGCTGGGCAGGCTGGGCAGGCTGGGCTATCTAAAGGGAGGTGCCTTCCAAGGCAGGGCCAGGTTTTCTGAAGGGAGTGGCTATGGGTGGCACTCTGATTGGTAGGGTGAGCCAAGGACTCACCTGGGAGCTAGGTTTGCACAGGAAGCCCACCACTTGTTATAAATGGGATTCTTAACACCTGTCTGTTCACATTTTATCACTGACCATCCTCAGCAAAGGTTACAAACACCCAGGAGTGCTAGAGGACCCTCAGCCTACCACCAGAAGAAGGGGCTCCAAGCCCTGTCCAAGAAGATTGACTCATCCAAGAAGACGATTATGGTGGCTTCTTCCTTTATCACATATGACAAGACAGAACTAATACGAGTCAACAGTGGGTGCCGTGGCCAAGCATACTAGTAGGATCTTTAGCTGCATTCACAGAGGAAGAGTAGCTTTGCCAAGAGACACTGAATTTGAACTCTGATCCTTTCAAGTGTCAAAACTCCAAAAAATCCTAATTCCCCCATCCCATTCACCCCAGCAACCAACCCATCTGGGTGTGCCTGTCACATCACTTAGCATGGCTCAGAATAAAAACACCATGTGTCCACCTGTCCCCCAAGAGTCTCCAGGCCATGACTCTCATGTGTCCTCAGCACAGAGCTTGGCACTTTAAAGACATTCAATAAATGACTGAACTGAGCTGAGGTGCCGCAGCATGGTCACACTGAGGGTGTTATTGTGTTCAAGGCAATTTCAGAACACAAGTGTCCTGACTAGGGCTAATAAAAAGGTTTATGACAATGCATTACCACTTGGGATCTTCATATGTTGAGCAGAGAAATTCTTGAGGCCAACGCCACCAGACAGTTTTAATTACAAAGGAGTCACAGTTAGCCAGGCCAGGTCCCTGGGTATCTATGGAAATGATAGGGGCAGAGAATGAAGCTTAGGGGTAGAGAGGTCAAAGGTACATCCTATCTTCGTGACAGCAGCCAGCCAATGCCAGAGCTCAGGAAGCAGCCGAAATCCAGAAACAGAAGACAGAAATAATGACAAAGAGGACCACATGCCTTAAAAAAAAAAAAAAAGTCATAAAAAGGGAGCCTACTGAAGTGGATCTGATGTACAACACAAATGCTACCAATTCATCGGGGAGTGGGCCGCCTGGCGCAAAACATCGTAACTTCGAGAATTAATTACAGGAACTAACACTGTGAATTGGGAAGATTAGTAGGGGAGTCTGTGTGATGCAGTTCTAATATTTAATAAATCTTTAAATCGATGAGCCATGCTCACGAATGAATTTTTCTTCATCTTTCCTCCCTGGGAGCTCACGTGACAAAAGCCAGCATTTGCTTTTTATTTGCCTTTGGACAAAGTGCCAAGATATATATGCGTATAAATAAATTGGGGTTCATGAAATCATCTGAAAGGCACCAAGAAGACTGACATAATATGGAAAGCTGAGATGGGTGAATTCTTCTTGTATAAAGGCAAGAAACCTTTTAGGATGCAAATGTCCCCTTCCCCCACACTCTGCAAGAGCTCCACCGGCTGTCACAAATAAGTATTCCCATCCCTACCTGTTCCTCTGTGTACCTGTTTGGCTCTATCTACCACACATGTACTTTACTCCGTTTGCATTTTTCATCTCAGAATCACCACTTAAGCTTGTCGCACAAACCTGACAGCAGCAATACATTTTATAAATGAATTATCCCTGGGGAACAGACAAGCAAACCACCAGTAAGGAGCACTGTCAAAGTTCCCAAGGAGAGCATTCTGTTCCCAGATGCAAACTACGCCACATCCTCACCAATCCCAAACTGCCCACTCCAGAGGCAGCCTGCTCACCTCTCTTCTCTCCTCCCCAGCTCTCAGGCCCTCTCTCCCAGCTGAATAAAAGCAGAACTTCCTTCTTTGGGAACTATAACATTTTAATGCTGTTTACAGATAACAACTCTAAGGACGGGATGTTGGTTCCTTTTCCATGAATAAAAAGGCCCCAAAAGGGTATTTTCATAACAAAATGATATCCTATGGAGAGCACAAGATGCCACAAAAATAAAACTGCCATAAACCTACACAGGGAAGGATTAAACCCCAAGCCAGGCAGCTCGGATTTTCCTATCCGATACCCTTAACACGCTCCTAGTTCTCTCGTGAAATCCAAAGAATTCCTGCCACCCGGAAAGGCCTAAATGCTTTCGTGCAAGTCCCGGTATGTTATTCCTTCCCTTGAAACCCTCGGGACGATCTGTAGCATTCATCTAAAGCTCAATTACTGCTGTGTCCTCAGTCACACCCAAAGATTCCCCAAGGCACCGTCTGCCGCAGCGCCTGGTGCACAGTAGGCGCCCCGTTAATGTGTGGGTTTGATTGGATCTGAGCTGGCCCCTTCGTCAGAAACACGCTGGTGGCTGGACGCCCTGCTGGGGACAGCAGCGCCAGCCTAGCTCGCCGCCACAACGGGGCGGGGGTGCAACCACCTGTGGGCGGCTGGCCGGGACGCAGGCCCAGCGCCACAGCCCCGGGGTGCCCGGCGGGCCCCACGCACACTGCTGAGAGCTGGGGTTAGTCGGGAACGCCAGGCCCGTGGGGCCCGGGATCGACACCCTGGGCCCCATCAAGGTCTCTGCCAGAGCAAAGTTGACCATGTCCCAGAGTTAGTTCCCAAGTCGCTCCACCCGCTGCGAAGCTGAGAGCAAGAGGAGCTCTTTGGGCTGGAGTCAGGGGCCACCCTGAGAAATCAACAGAGAAGAGAAACTATTCTCTAACCCCCTCCCAAACTTGGGGTACCTGCTGGGCAACAGGAGAGGACTTTCCTCTCCACGGTCTCGCCAAGGCCTGATGGAAGGCTTGGGAGGGGGATATAGCGCGACACCCGGGAACAACCCTGCACTACTTTGAAATTTTCTATCCATTAATCCAGCATCAGGAAGGCCCCCACTGGAACCGGGGGTGGGGGGTGCTGGAAAGGCAACACTTGCAGGGAACACAGGCCATCCTCGCCAAGGGCAGGGACTTGGAAAGGGGGTGAGGCCCATAGGACCAGGTGGGCACCAGAGAAGGCGCAACCCCATAGCACAACGTGCCAAGAAGGGGGCACGGGCCAAAGAAGGGGCCAGAAAGAGACCGGGACCGACCGGTGGCCCAGGAGGGAACGGGGATACCGAGGGCTGTCAGAGGAGATGGGGGAGGGGATCCCAGAGAGGTGCAAGAGGACAGACCCAGAAATAAGCACTGGGGCAGGGGGAGCTGCCTTAAGGGTGCATGATGCCGGTGCCCCGACCGGCTCCGTCACTCACCGGCAGATCCACGCTCACTTCGGTCCCGTCGAGCAGGAAGACACGGCAGTACAGGGTGGCCTTAGCCGTTCCGGCGGCGGAGATGTGCACCGCCGCGCCGCCCGTGAGCAGGGGCCCGCCGCCGGCCGGGAACACGCTGCCCCCGGGCGCGGCGGGCAGCGCCGAGGAGGCGGCAGCGGAGGCCGGACCCCCCCGTGGCCCCCCGTCGCGCTCGTCCCCCAGCCCGGCGGCCCCGCGCCCTGCCGCGCCCCGCGCGTAGCGCTGCATGGAGCGGCGGCCAAAGGTCCGGCGCAGGAACCGCAGCATCCTGGCTGGGGGCGCCCCCTGCCTCCGCCCCCTGCGCTGCTGCCGCTGCGCCGCCGCCTGGGAGCGCCCCGCGACGCCGTCAGTGCCCGCCGCCGCCCGCGCCGCCGCCCGCGGGCTGCGGCCCGGGGCTCGTTCCCGCCGAGGCCGAAGCCGAGGCCGCGCTCCGGCCGCCTGCGGGGTGCGCCGGCCGGGCCAGCGCCGCCTGCGACTGGCCGCAGGCGGGAGGGCGCGCTCCGGGCAGCCCGGGGCCGTCCCGCCGCCGCCGCCGCCGCGCGCTCTCCGGGTGCGCTGGCTACGGAGGGAGCCGCTGACCAAGGGCAGTCGGGGGGCTGCGGGGCGCAGGGGGCGGGGGGCGGGCTGCTCCCGCGCCGCGCGCGGGCCGAGGGCCAGCCAGAGCAGAGCGCCTGCGTGCTCCCGGCGCGCTCGCTCCCACTCGCTGCGCGGTGCCCAGCCCGAAGAGGCCCCGCTGAGCGCCCGCTCACAAGGCGCCTTTTCCTGCGCCCGCAGCCCCCGCCTCCCACCTGGGAGGCTGCACCTCCAGCCGCCGCCACCGCCGCCGGGACTGCAGCACGCCCTCCTCCCTGGGGGCTGCGCCGGGTAATTGTAAGCCGGGTCTGTGCTGCCCCCTGCCGGCCCGAGCGCCCCCTGCTGCTGTAGGTGCACTCACGTGTGTACACGTAGGTGAGCACACACGTGTTTCCGGCTCCCCGAGCCTTGGAGACGCCGAGTCCCCCCTTTCCCAGTTAGGAAATCAGGACCTCCTGCCCTCCGGGAAGGTTTGTCCCGGGGGCCAAACAGAAAAACACGAACTTTCTCCTAATGGAAAAATGGCGCTCGATTTCCCCTTCTGGAATGGGAAAGAGGTGGACTAGGTAACCCACAGGGTCCTTGCTACTTAATTACATTCCATCGTTTAAGAGCTCAGATCTGGAAACGCTAATTTACCCTTCCAGTTCTGTGGACTCGGTCCAGATAAGGAAATGGAGGCCTGACAAGGAGGGGAAGTACTTTTCCAACACACTTCACAGGAGACACCCCTCATCAAGGACCTTGTGTCCACTATGGAGGAAAGAACTTGAACACTGCAGGTGACTGAGAAGGCGAGGAAAACGTTGAACAGGTCGCTGAGAAGCAAAGTAGAACCGGGGCCGCGAAAATGAATAGAACAGGACGCATAATATCAGACACAAAAGGAATTGTTTATAAGCACTATTCGGCAGGGTTCAAGTCGGCTTCAGAGACTTGTCAGGTGCTCCCCGAGTGAGGAATGTGGAGAAGACCAGGCAGAAAGGAGGTCAGGCCTCTTGGGAAGAATAACAGTACTACTGTTTATCGCCCCTTAATCTTGTGCCAGACACTGCTAAACCCTCTCCATTCATCGTTTTACTTAATCCTCATGACAGCCTGGTTCCATAGACATTCTTATCCCCATTGTACAGAGGAGGAAACTGAAGCTTAGAGAGCTTAAGAGACTAGCTGCAGATTCCATGGTTAATGCGGGTGCTTTTCCCAAGCTCCAGAGCTGTTGCCGGAGCACAGTTGGCATGATTGGCAAGCAAGTGAAGGTTATGAGAGGACTGGACTAGGCAGTGTTTCCAGCAAAAGGGACTGAGAAAGAGGGAGGGAGGGACTGAGGGAGGGACAGACGTTTATTGAGGATGATGCGCTGTCTTAAGTGATTTCATGGGTGATATTTTCATTAATCCTGACTCCAGTTCTTTCAGGTACTTCTATTTATCCCCTTTAACTTAGGTGGATTTTGAAGCTGAAAGAAGTAATATCTTTTCCTAAGGTCTCAGCTGCTGAGTGTCAGGTACTCTCGCTTGTTGCCTGGCATTCCCTTTAAGACACGATGGGGACTCCCTTGTGGCAGTGTATTCTTAGAGGACATATGTTATTGGTCCTCAGATACCCACTCTGTTCCCCTCCCGCTGCAACTAAATTTAATAGAATACCACCACCAAGTTCAGAAGTAGACTGGTTCTTCTCAGTGGTTTCTCAGGATAGCTCATTTCCTACTATATAGCCCAGGAGTGGTAAGGTAGACTAAATAATGGATGCCCAAAGATGTGCACATCCCAAGCCCTGGAACCTGTGAATGTGTCACTCTATGTGGCAAAAGGGAATTTGCTGATGTGATTTAGTTAAGGAGGTTGAGGTGGGGAGATTAATCTGGTATTGACCGAGTGTAGTCACAAGCAACCTTAGAAGAGGAAGGAAGAGGGGTCAGAGTCAGAAAAAGTGCCAGGACCAAGGCAGCAGAAATCAGAGTAACGGTTTCAGGAGCCAAGGGAATAGCCTCTCAAAAAGCTGTAAAAGAATGAAGAATGAAGCATCCCCTAGAGATTCTAAAAGGAATGCAGCCTGGATTTTAGCCCTTAAGATCTACCTAAGTCAGGCACAATGGTGCGTGCCTGTAACCCCAGCTACTCCAAAAAGCTGAGGCAGGAGGATCAAAAGTTGGAGGCCAGCCTCCGCAACTTAACAAGATCCTGTCTCAAAATAATTTCTAAAAAAAGTAAAAGGGCTGGGTGTATAGTGTACTGGTAGAGCGCCACTGGGTTCAAGCCCCAGTACCAACAAAAACAAACAAATCTATCCTTCTGAATTGTAAGATAATATAGTCATGTTGTTTTTAAGCCACTGGGTTTGTGGTAATGTATTCTAGCCACAACAGGAATCGAATCCAAGTGATATTAAATAGTATTAGTTTGGAGCATTACAAACTAATTCAAAGCCCTCCACCCTCCATGGAGGTGAGAGCTCTCATGGTGGCCCCCCCAGCAAGCATCATTCGGCTGGCTTTATAATTATACGTGGCCTTTCTCTCCTGCTGCATGGACTCTGAGCTGCATAGGGACTTTTTCTTCTTCCCCACGTGTCCTCACCCAATACCTAGCCTGCTATTTGGCAAGTAGTAGGGGGTCCATCCAATATTTGTTGAATGAATGCAGAATCTCACTTCATGCCAGGTACGGTAGTGCCTGCCTTGTAATCCCAGTGGCTCGGAAGGCGGAGGCAGGAGGCTTGTGAGTTCAAAGCCAGCCTCAGCAACTTAGCGAGGCCCTAAGTAATTTAACAAGACCCTATCTCTAAATAAGATTTTTTAAAAAGGTCTGAGAATGTGGCTCAGTGGTTAAGTGCCCCTGGGTTCCATCTCTGGTACCAAAAAAAAAAAATAAAAAAGAAAGAATCTCAGCTGGAGCTGTAGCTCAGTGGCAGAGCACTTGCCTAGCATGTGTGAGGCACTGGGTTCGATCCTTAGCACCACATAAAAATAAACAAATAAAACAAAGGCATTCTGTCCATCTACAACTACAAAAAAATTTTTTAAAATCTCATTTCATCTTCATAATGGCTCTGTGAAGTATGCCTTCTAGAAAGGCAATAGCAATACACTGAAGATCGGAGGGGAGCCCAGACTCCCGTACTCTTGGCTCCTGACTCCAGATTCTGTGTGCTCCTGACAAGACCATGTCTCGGTGAATCTCATCCCATACCCATCATAATAGTGATTTAACACTATTCTCCATTATTCAGAGCAGAAACAAGGCTTAGGTGTTCCTTTAATGAAAATTCACATCACTGAAATTCTTTAAAAAAAAAAAAACATTTACAGTACTGGGGATGGAGCCCAGGGGCCCTCTGCCACTGAGTACATCCCCAAGGTCTCACATATGCCAAGCAAGTACTCCACCACTGAGCCACATCCCCAGCCCTTTTAAATTTGTATTTTGACATAGGATCTTGCTAAATTGCCCGGGCTGGCCCCAAACTGCAGTCCTTTTTCTTAACCTCCCAGGTAACTGGGATTATGGGTGTACACCACCACAACCGGCTTCACATCACCAGTTTCAACCTCACGTTTCAACATCTGATGAGCATGCTTACATCTAAATTGTGGTCACTTAGGGCTTTTTCTTAATCTTGGTCTTTCTTCAAAAGTCCCTAACCCTGTTACCTGAAGTCTAAAACCAGCCCTTTGAAGACATTTTTTTTTAATATTTATGTTTTAGTTGTAGTTGGACATAATGCCTTTATTTATTTTCATGTGGTGCTGAGGATCGAACCCAGGGCCTCGAATGTACTAGGGGAGCGCTCTATTGCTGAGCCACAACCCAGCCCCACCCTTCGAAGATTTTATTGTCTTTTCTTGCACCTCCTTTATGGCTAATGTGAATTGGCCAGAGCTGCACATGTATCCTATTTATTAATGCGGTGCTCCTTTGATGGGCCTTTTGTCCTTAAGCTATGACTCAGAGCCTGTAGCGCTTTGGTCTGAATGTTTGTCCCACCAAAATTCATAGGTTGAAATTCTAACCCCCAGGGATTAGGAGGTAGGGCTTTTGGAAAGAGGGTCTTTTGGAGGTGATTAGATTATATGGATGCTGCCCTCATGAATAAGATTAATGCCCATAAAGAGACCCCAGAGACTCCCTCACCCCTTCAGCCATGCAAGGACATAGTGAGAAGCCGCCATCTCTGAGCCAGTCAACAGGCCCTCGCCGCACACCCAATCTGTTGGTACCTTGATCCTGGTCTTCCCAGACTCCTGGACTAGACGGTTTATAAACTTCCCAGTTCATAGTATTTTTTATAGCAGTCTGAATGTACTAGGACACCAGGATTTCTCCTGCCTGTCTCTCTAGAACCATCTTTATATGTGAGTATGTGTCAATGGACCTTTATTTTATTTATTTATTTGCGGTGCTGAGAATCAAACCCAATGCCTCACACATGCTAAGCCAGCGCCCTACCACTGAGCCCCAGCCCCAGCCCCTAGAACCATCTTCACCGACGGTTTAGGAAACAGTCTCCACTAACTTCCATCCTTTCCTGGATCATAAACAGAAGCTTGGCCTCCTTCATTTCATAGGCATTACATCAAATTTGATCTTGAGAATCACCTTCTTGCCTTTCCCTCATTGAAGCTCAGCTGCCACTTCTGTGCCCACTTCTTCTGTTCCTGAGACCTTTCCAGCGACAGCCCATCAGGCATCTTGTACCAGTAAGAA